AGGAAGAATTTTCTATACTACTAACCTGAAACAGAATGAATCTAGAACATTCTGTTATATAACTAAATTAATTTTCTTTGACTTTCAACATGTCCCACTCAAGGTATCTAAACAACTTGAATTAGCAAATCAAAACTAGAAAGCCGATCCGAGTATGCCGGAAAAAGTTATTGTTGAACAGTTATATGTGAGAAAGCACGGGAGAAAAATATATTATCGATATTTTATTCAATTATAATACAAGGAACAATATTTATACAATACATATCCTACTCTTATTCTATGTGGGACGAGGATCAGTGAGGCACTTGGTGAAAATATCTGCAAGTTGATCATTCGACTTCATAAACTTTATAGTAATATCTCCTTAGAGTATCTTTTCTCTAATAAAGTGACAGTCAATATCAATGTGTTTAGTTCTCTCATGGAACACCGGATTTGATGTAATATGAAAGGCAGCTTGATTATCACACACAAGTTCCATCTTGTTGATCTCACCAAATTTCAACTCCTTGAGCAACTGTTTTATCCAAACTAGCTCACATGTTGCCATAGCTATTGCCTGATACTCTGCTTTTGCACTAGACCGAACAACAACATTCTGTTTCTTGCTCTTCCAAGATACCAAATTACCTCCTACTAAAACACAATATCCAAACATAGAACGTCTATTAGAAGGTGATCTTGCCCAATCAGCATCTGAGTATCCAAAGATCTGCTCATGGCCTCGTCCTCAAACAATAATCCTTTGCCTGGAGCTGATTTTATATACCGAACAATGTGGACAACTGCATCTCGATGACTATCATTGGGAGAATCCATAAACTGACTCACAACACTCACCAAAAAGGAAATGTCATGTCTGGTTACTGTGAGGTAATTTAATTTACAACCCAGCCGCTTATATCTTGCAGGATCACTAAGCGGCTCCCCCTGTCCTGATAGAAGTTTAGATTTGGTTGGATCCATAGGAGTGTCAACAGGTCTACAACCTGTCATTCTTGTTTCCTCAAGAATGTCCAAGGCATACTTTCATTGTGAGATCACAATACCTGAGCTAGATTGAGCGACCTCAATATTTAGAAAATACTTTAATCTGCCCAGATCCTTAGTCTGAAAGTGCTGAAAGAGATGGTTTTCAACCTAGTAATACCATCCTGATCATTGCCGGTAATAACAAGATCATCAACATAAACTACCAAATAAATACAGAAATTTGGAGCAGAATGCCGATAAAATATAGAGTGATCGGCTTCACTAGGAGTCATGCCAAACTCCTGAATCACTGTACTGAACTTACCAAACTAGGCTCGAGGAGACTGCTTTAGACCATAGAGGGACTGACACAACCGACATACAAGGCCAATAGCCTCCCTCTGAGTAACAAAACCAGGTGGTTGCTCCATATAAACCTCATTCTCGAGATCACCGTGAAGAAAAACATTCTTAATGTCCAACTAATAGAAAGGCCAATGGCAGACAGCAGCAATGGATAGAAAAAGGTGGACTAATGCTATTTTAGTCATGGGAGAGAAAGTATCATTATAATCGAGCCCAAATATCTGAGTATACCCATTGGCAACAAGACGATCCTTAAGTCGATCAACCTGGCCATCTGGACCAACTTTGACTGCATACACC